ATATATATATATATATTAAAAATTCAGATTTGAGCTTACTTATAGCCAATATAATTTAACAAGTCAAACTGAAAAAAAAAAAGCTTCTCGTCGTAAGAATTTTTAGAAACTAGCGTAAAAGTCTAACAAACAGAATCTTATTGCGGTCTAAAATATAAAATAGTAATAAAACTATCACAAATGACCCTTCTATACAAAATTAATTTAAAATATTTATAATAAAAGTTGATCTCACACTTTTAAGGAAGGCTTAATTTGATTTGGTTTGATTTAAAAGAATTAAAGGGAATACAAAATAATTTTATTTTACAGTTTCCTTTTTTTTTTTTTTATGGAAGGCAATTAGTATTATATCCATGAAATGAAACCTAAAATTTGCCTTCATTAATTTTTTTGCGATTCTAGTGAATCAATGAGATGAAAATTTTACTAAACTATTGTTGAGACTTAGAGTGGCAGTTTATTTGGTGCGGTGGCGTTTTGAAAACGCACTTGGACTGTTTGGATAAACTGCGTTTTGACAGCTTATGCGTTTTGAAAACGCTGAAAGCAGCGCTTTCACACCACACCTATCTAGGTGCGGTGACAACTTTCTGGAAACGATCAGGTTTTTCCAAAAGAAATAAAAATTTCTAATAGCCACCGCATCTAGCTTATCAGCAAATTATTTTTAATCAACTTATCAGCAGAATAATTAAAAAGCTGCAGCTGCCCCAAAAAGATTCTTAGCTAGTGTTATCCTCGCCTAACAAATACTCAATTTCTTCTTTTAACTTTGAGAAAGAAAAAACAGTCGAAAAGCCGTTTCAAGGAAATTTCTTTATCTTTTTTTTCTATTCAGTTTTCCTTTTCCTCCATTTTAATTTCTTAAAATGAAATAGAATTGTCTTGTTATTATTAATTAAGCTTTGTTGCCATAATTTCAATATAATCGAAAAAAAATTTACTCATTTTTCATTTAGATTTGATCTATTTTTAGATGGGTTTGGTGTTTGAAAGAAACATAACCGTTAGAATGACTCATTTGAGGAAAATAATCGGGACACTTGAAAATTAAAGAAGATAGAGAGGAAATCTCGTAAGTATAAAATTGAAATGAAGAATCTTAAAAGATTCAAAGAGGAAAATTCTCTTTGTTGACTACATTTTTGGTCAACTATTTCTTGACCAAAACATTCCCCCTCCTCCCATGGAAGTCATTCAATAATGACAAGTTGTCGAGCTAAAAAACAAGCCAAAAAGCCTCGAAACCCTAGCCCTGACTGGTGCTATCACACCGCAATTTGGTGTGACTACGCCAAGTCACCTCTTGTGGCATGATTACGCCTCAAGATGGCATAACCACACCACCATAATTGAGATAGTGGTGTTAGGTGTAATTACGCCAGAGGAGGAGGGGGGTGCTGAGGGGTGTTTGTGGCATGCCCATGCCAACATTGATCTCACTTCTCCCACTAGATGTCGAAGCTACAAACTGTTCTGAGCTGCATCATCATCATGGGCCTTCCTACTATGTTCGACCTCTGAAAAGTAGGTATACTAGAAGGCGGGGCAAAACCAACCTAGATTTCGCTGAGAAACTGGTCCAGTGACAACATCAACCAAGTGAACTGGCCAAGATGTTGATACTCAATATGTCATACTACTCGTTGAGGAAGTTAGTCTTCCCGTCAGTTGCACCACTCTAATTTGAAGGTTTTGGAGTTGCTTATTAACAGAGCAAGTTTGCTGATAATGTGTAACAATCATGTAGTCATCTAAAGCTCTTCGACCAGACACTCTGAAAGATCGAATACTGGTCCGTATAGTGGGCCACATGGGGCCTACGTACTCCTCTCATGGTTGATCTCCACTCTGGCTCTAGCACACAAGACAAATATCTGGGATGACTACCATAATATTACCAGAGGCAATTTAAGTTATGAAACTATGGATAATATGAGCAGCATTAATCATGAATTCATGCTAGATGGCAAATTACAGTGTTATACACTCCCCTATTACCTCACTCACATTTGAGTATCGTACAACTGATACACTAAAAATATATGCATTTTTAGACCCATATTTTATACTTATTTTTGGTGATATTATACTTTAAAGGAAGATAGTTTTCATGTTTTATTTTAGGTTGTTGGTTTTTAGGACTTGGAGCAAAAAGGAATGAAAAAGAATGAAATTTGGAGTCAAAATAGAGTTTTTCAAAAATTGTTCAGCGCTGACAGCGTCACACTGAGCGCCGACGGCGTCGTTTGACAGAGAACATGAATTTAAATAAATGGCCACTAGCACTGACGATGCCAGAATGGGCGCCGACGGCGCCAATGTCGGTGCAGACCCTGTTTCTAGAAGATTGACAAATTTGAACGTTTTTTTAAGAGTTTTTGGATGCACCTATTAGAAAACCGACCTTAGGCTCTATTTAGAGTTCAAATTGATCGGAAAAGACTCTCTTTGCACTCCTCCGCTCGCTCTTGGTCTTTCTTCGCATCTCTTTACCCCCCTTCGTGCCACTTTGCATCCTTCCATGTCATTCCACACCCTTAGTCATTTAATTTCTTTATAATTTTGAGTTTTTGTGATGAGTTTAAGTGTGAATTATTCTCTAAGAGAGTTGGAGTGGGAGAGAAGTGAGAGATTTTTTCTTCCTACATTTCATAAGAAAGGCTACAAGGGATTTGCTTTGAGAAAGAGTTTCAGATAAGTGTTGTTTGTTTATTATTATTGTATGAACTTTCTTTTATATATGAAATTTGTGTTTTTTTGTATCTTTCTCATGAAGTCTGAGTAGTTTCCTTTATCTTTCTCCCTACTCTAAGATATGGTGAAATGAAGAGATAATTTGGATGTGTCAATGTTAAAATATAAAATAAATTGTGATGGTTTTTCAACTCTGCTCTTAACTTACTTTTTTTATCTGACCAATTGAATTGTTTAAATTGTTGTAAAACATATGATCCGAGAAATGAAGTATGAGTTCTACAACAAAGTGAGAATCACATTTAAGTCCATGAAGGAGTATTTCGTTCATGGAATTAAGTGCAAATAAATAGGGAAATATACATTATTGGGTGTAGAGTTGGAGATTTTTATGGTGACAGACTAAAATCCTCAATTCGATCTTAGAGTTTAAGAACTAAAGCGAGAGTTAGCCTTCAAGGGAAGGGCAGTGGGAGCCAGTATCCTAC